AATAACCTGTTGAAATTCTGACAAATTTTGAAATTCATCGTAACTGAAATTATGTCAAAATTCTAATTAACAATTAGTATATAACCCATTGAAATTATGACGATATTTTTCTGAAAGAATTTAGGCAAGCATCCTTAACCTGTTGACAAAACAGATAAAATAAAAGAAACTTGGCAATTAATCAATAAACTGATCACAAAATTTTCTAAATGTAATATTTATAATTGACTCAGCAGAATCACAATTCTCGACACCACTAATAGAAGAAATATTGATAAGAGAAACTGAAACAGATGAAATAATTGAAGGATATCAAAACAACAAAATAGTTAATGAAGAAGAAACTCTCCAGCCTGATGAAGAAATAAATAAAGTTGATCAACAACTGAAGAAGACATGGAAGAAGAAAAGAAAAGACACAATTAACTTCTATCATACAAAAAGCACATTCAAAGAAAGAATTAGAAAATTATGAACAGAATATAATAATTATTTTTGCTTCAGGGTTAAGAGTGGAAAAAAACTCTGTCTACTATAGAAAATTGGAAATCAGTTAAGACAAATGAAGAACAATAAAACTAGTCAGCTGTAGTTATTGAAAGGAAGTTTTGAAAACTCTCTCACAAGTTCTTTAAGAAAATGTCTGCAATTAGCAAAATAACTTGCTCACACCTTCTCCAATTTCCCCAGAAAGATTATTATCAGTAAAAATGATCTTTTACATAGAACTATATCAGTTAGACCAAACACAATTAGAATAATTAATCTTATTGATTCAAAACTGGTTATAATTGATATGAAACTCAATTTTTAAAGAAAGGAAAATGTTATAACTGGAAATTTATATAATTTCCATAATTTTTATAATTTTCATAATTTTTATAATTTCTATAACTTTCATAATTTTGATCATTAATACAATTATAGTTATTACTATCATTTATAACAATTACTGTAATTATCATCATTTATAATAATTATTATAATTATCATTATTTATATAGTATTTATTATTTATTAACTTATATAATTAATTATAAATATAATATTTATTAGTGAAAAATATCATTATAAATAAAGTGCAATTGAAGCTTTGAAAAAAATATTAATTGATCAATACAAAAATCTAGCTAGTCAATAAACTGTTCTTTGTTTGTTGTTAATGAAATTTATATATTTAATTGATTGAAAAATAACTTATTAAAATACTTGCATTTATTACATACTATTGGACAATCACAAAAGTTGCTATAGAATATCAGTACTATATTACTATAGAACTGTCACACACTAAGTAGATATAATATTTATTAGTAATAGTAAGAGCCTATTCATGAGATAGAAGAAAATGCACTGTGTGGTGATCCCAAAGTACACTTATTATGATGAGATCGAGTAATTGTAAAATTATTATCATTAGATAATGGTTGAACATCTATATCATGATAACACTTACCAGGAGCCTGATCGTAACAGTGTCATCAAGATAAATAATGAGAAAAGTCCAAGCAAGGCCAGAATAAACTGTATCTATGAGTCATTGAAAGGTAGCTGGTCTGTTGGTTATACTGAAGAGCATTACGTTGAATTTATAAATATCTTGTTGAGTGATGAAGACTATCTTTTCACAGCTAGCTGGATCTATTTTGACCTGCCAGTAACTGCTTGTCAAATTTAATGTGGAGAATTATTGAGATCCTCCTAACAAATCCAATATTTCATCAATTTGTGGTAGCAGGTAAGCATCTTTCTTTATTACTGAATTTAGTTTTCAGTAGTCTATGCGGAAGCGTAACTTTTCATTCTTTTTCTTTACTAATATGATTGGTGACATTCAGAGACTAGTTGATGGATGAATTATATTATTCTTAAGCATTGATTCAATTTCTTGGGTAATGAATTTATTTGACTTTGATGATACTCAATAAGCTCATTGCCTAATTGGCATGATATCTTTGATATCAATTTTATATTATATTTTATTAATTTTTCCTATTTCATTATCATTGGTCATAAATAGATTTGAGTATTTAAATAATAATTAATATAGTTGTTTTCATTGTTTTTCAGACACTTTTCCAATGTTGACCCTTGATAAGTCTTCGGTAATTAAGATATAAATTTCAATTTCATGATCATGTTTTTTTGTTTTATTGGATATCAAAATATCGAATTATATCTTTCATGCAATGAAAAGTTTGTAAATATTCAACTCTGTCTTCTATATATCTAAGTATTGTTCCTTCTTCTAACAAGATTATTTGATTTTTTTGATTAATCAAGATAAGCTAAATTTTATGTCATTTTCCTGGTGCAATATACTGGTGATTGTAACTAAGTTCATATTTTTTGAATAATTCATAATTTGATTTGAATAGGAGCAGCTTGGAGCTAACAACTTCTTCGTTTCATCCTTCTTATACAATCATTCCATTATGATAGATTGTGATTGTCTTTTCTAATATGATAGATATTTCTCGGATAATATCATCACCATTTTCTTCAGATATGTTAACCAAATTGGTTTCCTGTTTTGTTTTTCTGGTTGATCCCAGTTTCTTTTGATCTCTTTTACTTTGTTCTAGTTTGACACATATCTTTACTGATATCATTTTCTTAATTGGTAAAATTGGTAAGTAGAATACTTGACCAATTCATTCTTGAAGTAATATTTTATAATCTTTTTTTTGATCTATTCTTTAGAATGATTTGTAAATTTTCAATATATTCAGTGTCTACAATTCCTTTTTCAATAATAATTTCTTTTTTTGCAAGTAATAATCTCAATGCTAATTGTATCATGTTATTTTTGGAAACTTCTATAGTGATTCCTAAATTGATCACTATAATTTTTTGTTGGAAGGTAAAATAAATAGTTCTTTGCTAGGATAATACAAGTTAAATTCAGCGTTAATGCTATAGGCTTTGACAGGTAAAATTATTTTTTTGTTTTTAATATAACATTTGATTTTTTGTTCATCTTTTTTTGGCTATAATGATCAATATTTGACAAATTCAGATGAAATTGAATAGTTCATTGATTCAGCATAATACTATTTTACTTCAGCAAACTAATCATTTATTTCTTGATCTCTCTTATTTTATATATTGATTACATATAGGGAATTGAACTAGTCAACTTATAGCAATATAGTTTAGCGTCAGATTTGATTTCACAGATATTTTCATCTTCTCGTATTACTAACTGATTGTACCAGTTGGTTATTTCATTTCATTCTTCATTCAGTACAGGAATCATTTTAGATCAGCACTCATCGCAGAACTGATTCTAATAGGACATCAAGCAAGCTGTGCATAGAGAAACTTTGATTATTCAAAGTTGCTTTTCCTGTTCTTCTCGTGTTGGACTGTATCAGGATGTAGGTGACTTTTTCAAATTACGTGATTATCCAATCTGATCACCTGATTAATGAACTCATCAATCCATTCCCAGAAATTAATATATACGAAGATGAAAATTCTTCTTATTTTAGCATAATGCAATTATGAAAATTGCCATAATAATAAAGGAACAACAAAATAATGTGGAGTAAAGTAAACAAAGTAACAATAAAAAATATTATTTGTAGATGTAATAATGAATATTTGGCAAACTAAGTTTCGATTATCAGTATCTTAAGTCCTGTTGCGATATCATGTGTTGTGTGTGTGTGTGTTCAGAGGATTTTTTTAATAGGAATATTCAAAATCCAATAGCTCAGGAGATTTCAGGTAATATAGTTGCATTTCAGTTGTCCGTTCCATAAATTCTTTACAAAACTGTATTTTAATAATGTATTTTCTGGTATCAAGTCCTAACCAACAAACACGTCAATGTTATATGAGTTTTACAAGCTTGAAAGGGAATTGTACGCAATTGATTTCAAGAGAATTATGGGTAGCACTTGGAGAATCTTTATTGAGCTCGTAAGCCTGTTTTATATACATTTTTTATTTACATTATGATATAATAAGAGAATATGAACTTTATTTTATTGCAAGAATAATATCCATAAGGTTGATCCTTGCCACGTCGGATCATGTCTTCGCCTATATTGTGCCTTCTCAATGTCATTTAACATAGTGAACAACTTATTCATATTGTTAACTACGCGTGTAATATGATTTAAGTTGTTTGCTGAGAGTTCTTGTTCCAGATATTCTGTCATATGTCTTACGGCAGCTATCTTGCACTCACAAATCTGTCATATTTTGGGATCAAAAGCTTCGTTGTCATCTTCATTCATTTTAACAAATTCATTATTAACTTCAATTCGCAAAATTAAAGCTTGGTTATCATCCTGCGAAATTAAAGACTGGTAGATATTGATTTCTTTCATATTCCAAATGAGAAAAGGATAGTCTTCTCACCGTTGAAAATTTTCATATATCAACCGGATACCTCGTAGATCAAGCAATTTCACCTTTTCAATTACGCGATGGACTAAGTGTTTACAAATAAGAAATCGGCTATGAAGAAATGAAGAGCAGCTACATATCCAACGTGTTAAATCAATAAAGTAATGATTATCATCATCATCAGCAATTTGTCTCATACTAAGCTGCTTCCAATCGTTTTTAAAATCATCAAACCAACGTGGAGTTATTCGACCCAGGCGCATTTGATCGAGACGAGTGATTTGGTCAGGAAGGAGACGTGTACAGATAATTCACACAATATAATCAAGTCGTGGTCTGTTGAATCGGTAAAGGTAGCAACATTTTACAACTCTCCAATGTGCTTCAATTAGCATATTCGTCTTGCAAATTGGGATTGTTATCTGAGTTGATCATGCCCAAAGCATTCATCTTGTAATTTTATATCACGCAGACTATAAGTATGCCCAAAGTAATTCAAGTTTATTTTCAGTGCAAAAATTATACATTTCATGAACTGCACTTCTTCGGATTTCATTAGCTGTCAAAAACTGTCCAGTAGCGTTGATAGGGATTTTTGGATGCATATTAAAATGTTTTTTGACAAGATCAATAGCTTTATTTCATAGTTTCAGTAAACATACAATATAATACTCAGACTCTGAACATTTTAAATCAAGCACGAAGGTGAGATCAATAAAACTAAACTCCGCAACAGCTTCCTCTGGTTGATACTGGGTACGTTGTATTCTCTTACAGCTCTTAAGTTTTTCTTTTATTGCCCTTTCTACATGCCACAGACAGAGCTGCACGTTAATACTTGACCACACTTTTTTTGTGGCATTGATCTCAGCGGAATCTTTGTCAGTAAAGAAGTATTGCGGTTCTAACCCCTTGTTGTGAAGAGAGCGAAGAAAGCTGGCAAGTGCTTTCGTTCGTAGCCCTATTTGTTCTTCATTATCGAATGCTTTCATAGTATTTAGTAACAAATACGCAATTGGAAATCCTGCGCCATTAGTATTACTGATAATTCCATAGAGCTCAAATCGTTCTTTAACTGTTTTGTAGGTCGCATCACAATGGATACTTAACACAGGTAAGAGTTTAGTTAGCAAAGAAGTTATGAATCCAATTGCTGTAACCAATTCACTTCTCCACTCAAAACAAAACTGATTATTATTATTCAGATTTTCTAAAAAGCGATGCGCAGAAATAACAGAATCTTCGTCTAATTTGTAGAAACGCTGACAGAAAGTAAATCACCAATAATTGATTTGCTTCGGAGTAATTTGCGAAATATCGAATATTTGATGAAGATGTGTTCAAAGTTGCACAGAATCCATATAGAGATTCTCCATGATCTCATGTTTTATTTCTGGCGGGGTTGTAAGATCTATAGGCTTTTCATGCTGAATATTGTGACAAAGCTTTACCAATACCTCTTTTGCCATCATATTAATATAGATAATCAACTTGCCATGACAATCAAAATGGTCTATCCTTTTGCGGTTTGATTTTTTATATTTGCGTTCAAGTTTGAAGCATTGAGAACAAGCAAAATAGAACTTATCAATACCAGAATGATGTACTGATATGGTAGGTCCAGTTATAAATCTATCAAATAAAAATTAATATATTTAACGCGCATGTTAATTTTGAGGTTTACAATTTAAGGCAACTTACATCTATTTATATCCGTCACCTTTTTCGATCTCGTCTATTATCAATCTTACCAAGAGTTTCATATCGTGGTGAGCAGTGATTAATGTATCATCATTAAGCTTAACGCATAAGTTAAAAAAAAGTCCGGCATCCTGCTCAAGATTAGCGATTTTATTTGAGACATATTCGATGATATTAGTAAAAATAATCTCCTATATCTCATTTTCAAATTGATTTTCTAATTTATTGTCAACAGGTGGAACTTGCTTCACTGCTTTTTCAGATTTTTTAGTTAAGCAGATAGAGCAGGTTTTAAGAAGTTTGCTCTTGCGAAAGAAGGTTTCTGTGGGTAATTGGTGTCAACAAGTAGTACACGTATTCATGTTATAATAATGTATTGTTGGAGATCTATACGGCAATTTTGTACGTGAGGATTTAGTCTCGAAAAAGGTGAATGATGGGTATTCTTAATTCAATTATACTTTTGGTTCAATAATATGCAGGTTTTACTATTATACTATCAATCAGAAGACAAGAATAATGAACTTTCACTTTAAGTTATTTACAATTCAAGAGATAATTACTTTATTACAACGAAAAAAAAGATATTTTTTATAAAGAATTACAGCGAAAGAATGCTATGCTAATCTAATCTCTTTCATTTTAGATCTTGCATGTTGATTAGTATTCTATTGGGAGCTTTAACAGTAAGTTTTATTGCGTGATACTTATTTTATCCCTCACCTTTCGATTTCCCTTCTACTGTATAACTCTGTCTCACACACACTTTCTGGTATAGTATATTTTCTTTTCTATTGTGAATTGTTTTACAGCTCTAATTTAATCTTTTTTAGGCCTAGGTCGAGGGAACGCATCGTAAAGATCCTCTAGCCGCACGTTATTCCAGGTATAGTATTTTCTCTTCCATTATTAATTATTTACAGCCTATCTCATTGAATCCTTTTTAGGTCAACGTATCGTAAAGATCCCCTAGCCACATTATTCCAGGTATTGTAATTTCTCTTCTATTATTAATTATTCACATTCCATCTAATTGAATACTTTTTTAGTACTAGATTGAAGAAATGCATCGAAGTCGCGCGTATAGTATTTTCTCTTTATTTACAGCCCACTTCGTTGAATTCTTTTTTAGTACTAGATTGAGACGCATCATGAAGATCCTTTAAACACTATTCCTGATTTCTCCGTTATTTATTATTTATAACCCATCTAATTGAATCCTTTTTGGGCTTAGATTGAAGGATCATGATCCAAGTCACATTTTTATGGTGTGAAATTCCTTAATTACATTTTCTTTGGATTCCATCGTAGTTTTTACAAAATTCACTCACCCCTTTATACTTTACGCGATATAATATCTCTAGAATTCATCCTAATAAATGCTTTTGTTACTTTTTTTAATTTCGCTTTATTTATATTATTCTAAATTTGCTTTTTTAATGATATGCACTTTATTTAAATTCGCTGTTCAATTTGATGACCCAAAATCTATTCATTATGTTATTAATAAATATAGAGTTTGGCCGAATCAGAGTTGCCACACGTATCTAACAAAATCTAAAATATCTAGTCGTTTTTCCCCTCTTGACATTCATTTCACGCCATTCTCTCGAGTTCATGGCTCATAGTTGTATAAAAGGTCTTAAAAAAGAAAATACAGCACACATGACACGTCTAAATTCCTTTGGAGCGGTAGACCATGAAAATTAATTGATAGAACTACTCGACAAGCAATTGACAAAATTACTCTTTCTCGCACTAAATCTCTACCCTCATTATATTTTAATTTTATTCTTAATATCATACATATCAGCACATTATTTTAAGTAGATAGATATCTAATAATACAAAAAATGTACATAAAACAGGCTTGCGAGCCTCAATAAAGATTTACCCATAATTCTCTTGAAATCAATTGCGTACAATTCCCTTTCAAGCTTGTAAAACTCATATAACGTTGACGTGTTTGTTGGTTAGGACTTGATATCAGAAAATACATTATTAAAATACAGTTTTGTAAAGAATTTATGGAACGGATAACTGAAATGCAAACTATATTACCTAAAATCTCCTGAGCTATTGGATTTTGGATATTCCTATTAAAAAGCTCTCCGAACACACACACACACACACACACACACAACATACAATATCATGACAGGATTTAAGATACTGACAATTGAAACTTAGTTTGCCAAAAATTCATTATTATGTCCACAAATAATATTTTTTATTGTTACTTTGTTTACTTTATTCCACATTATTTTGTTTACTCGACATTGTTCCTTTATTATTATGGCAATTTTCATAATTGCATTATGCTAAAATAGGAAGAATTTCATCTTCGTACATATTAATTTCTGTGAATGGATCAGTGAGTTCATTAATCAGGTAATCAGATCAGATAATCACGTGATCTGAAAAAGTCACCTACATCCTGGTACAGTTGAGAATTTATCCAAAAGTCATGAAAATTTGAATAAATATTTTTTAGAATACTAGAAACAAGATTTGCTAAGGTTATAAAGAATGTTAATATAGTAATATTTTGTATTATTTGTTGTCAAAGTTGGCAAACGGGGGAATATTCACATTAAATAGATTAAAAATATTATTTTAAAATATTTGCAATAAGCAAATATGAAAATATTTTTGTAAAAATATATTTGAAGATATAAGAAATATATTTGTAAATTTGAAAAAAAAAATTTATTTTATACTTATTGAATAAATAGCAATCAAAAAAAAACTTAATTTTGATGATTTTCTTAATGAATTATAGTAAATTATAATTTTTACTATAATTAAGAAAATTATCAAAATTAAATCTTTTTTTTTGACTGCCATTTATTCAATGAGTATAAACTAAAATTTTTTTAAACTTTACAAATATATTTCTTATATCTTTAAATATATTTTTAACAAAAATATTTTCATGTTTGCTTATTGAAAATATTTTGAAATAATATTTTATCTGCTTGATAGAGTACCCCCAAGTTTACCAACTTTGATATTAAATAATGCAAAATATTAGTATATTAACATGCTTTAAAACTTTAGTAAATCCTGTTTCTAGCATTCTTAAAAATATTCATACAATTTTTCATGACTTTCGGATAAATTCTTCTCGAAATATCTATAAAAAACATGTTCTATCATTACTTTCACCAGAACTATACTTTTATTGCATCACTTATAATTTTTGGTAACAATATCTGAGTTATAAATAATGTAGAGCTTTGTTTTTCAAAATACTTGAAAGATGTGTCTTCATAGTAGAAGTGGTTTTGTGATAAGTGAATCTTCTTCCATATCCTAATACTTGACAAACAGTAGTATCAGGAGCTATTTGTTTAAAGTAATTCCATATATAACTGGTTTTTGGTTTAGTTTTCAGTTCATGTTTCCCTTTTGTTTGAATAGTTGAAGTTATACTTTGATTTGTTGAATTTGTAGAGATACTAGATGGCAAAAAAATGATTGAAGTATTGTCATCTGTTTCATTATTTTCTGTTATTTCGTAAATATCATTCAAGTTTGGATCAATATTGATATTTTTAGCATTATTAGCACTATCAGAGTCATTAAACTCTGTATTGGAGATAGTTTATTGGTTATCATCAAAGACTAGAGTATTATTAATATTGTTGCTAAATGACAAAGTAGGTTGTCGTGCGCGAGAGCGAGTTGTAACATTTGCCATGTTTTTTACAAGGAGATTTTCTGATTAGTTTATTCTTTTTAATAATATTGTTACACCATTTATGCATAATTAATCGAATAAAAAATATTAATTGATTCTCGATTCTCAAATTTTAATCGATTAAAATATTAATCGATTTTCAAATTTTAATAGATTCTATAAAATCAATCGATTCTCAGAATCGATTCCTATCCCTAGTTCAACTTTGGAGAATTAGTGAAGTGCATTATTAACTTATTAATAACCTCTTTATGTTTCTCTTTTGATAGTGTCTTCTTGAATGGGAAAAGCTTCGGGACATTGGAATGAGATAGTATAGGTGATTCACTTTCCTCAGTTTCTGATAATTTTGTCGAGCCAGAGGTTAATGATTTAGCTGAAGCACTGATCTCTGCATTGGTCTGATCGTGATATTTTGTCACAGATTTTGAAGTCGCCTGATTCATAATATGTTGAATTTGAGTATTGGTAGATGGTACCCAAAATAATTAATCCGACACACTAGTGAAAATACTTTAAACTTTTCTTTTTCCTGATACATATACACATTCACGCATACACAAGTTTAAAAATTAAAGCCCGCTGGCCCTTGTCGATATGTAAAAAAGAATAAAAAATAATTAATACCTGAGCAAACTTTATTTACCAAAAATAGATATTTCAATGTACATACGTATACTACTACAAATCTACAAGAATGTCTTCACCTTCCTTAGTATCATGGGTAGAAGCTGCAATTTCAGAAAAGCTTCACCAATATTTTGATTTTAATGCTTTTAAAGATAGAAAAAGCAATTGAAAGTGGACATTTTGGCAATGTATATAAAGCAACTTTAAATGATGACTTGACGGTAGCTTTAAAAGGTTTTTGTGTAAAAATAAAAACTATGAACGAAAAGAATTCGTTAAGGATGTAAATTGTTACACATAATAAAATACATGTATAATAGATGTACATGTATAATAAACTGTATCACATTATTCATTAAGGTAAATGTTACAATTAATATATTATCGTTATCCGTAAAATCTGTGAATAAATGTTATTATAAACTTCAACTCTACCAGATCCCAGTATTCAAAAATACATGTTGGTTTTTGATTATGTCAATGGCGGAACCCTTCGAGATTATCTGGAAAATAATTTAAAAGGAATTGAAAAGTTGTCTTTAGCCTAGCAACTTGCAAAAGGGGTAAAGTGTGTACACGATGAAGGCATTATTCATAGAGATTTGGTAAGAATCTTTTTCAACTTCAAGTAGAGTTTAATCTTTTATTTAAATTTTTCATACAAAAGAACCATAATAATATCCTTATCCATAACGGAGAATCAAATTCGCAGACCTGGGATATTCAAAACTCTATGATTTCAATTCGAAAACTGATTATATAAAATGATAAGCTATGTTGATCCCACTTTTCTAAAGGATTTGAATTTTCGACGAGACGAAAAGTCGGATATTTTTAGTGTTGGTGTTCCATTATGGATGATTTTTAGCGGTCGTCCTACATCTAATAAATATGGAAACGTTCATCAAAATATTCTTGAGAAAGAGAGGACAATATTAGGAACTCCTTCTGAATACGTCGAGCTCTATCAAAATTGTTGGGACAATATACTAGCAAATCGCCCAACTATAAATAAAGTAAATTAAGACCTAAAAGCAATAGTTTGGTCGCCACCGGAATCTCCTGTTTTCACACGCGAAACTTTATCTAAAGTTATGCTTTGAGTTCCGAAGTATGGTCATCAATATCTAAAGAGCAATTATCAGAAAGTCCGGATTCATCATGTGAAGCACTTTCAATTACGAAAACGTACCTGAAATTATTATCGATGGTTTATTTATTAAATTTGCAAGAATAAACAGCTTAATTATGAAAAAATTTCATGATTATTTGCAGATCACTACAATCATATTATCAACAGAACACTCCAACTTTCGATATTTACAATTCTAAAGACTCTTAGGATTTTTCTGTTATACTGGTTTAATAATAAACAAAAATTTTCGAAGAGTCAGCAATTAACAATCATGCTATAGCGTAATATTTTATTGGAAATTGCTATGAAGAAGGAAAAGGAGTACAAAGAAATCCTGTAAAAGCATTTCAGCGGTATATCAAATCAGCAAGGAGGGAAGATTCTAGGGAAAAATGTAATCTAGGTACTTGTTATCTAAATGGAATTGGGACTGAGAAAGATGATAAGCTTTGAATGGTACTCTAAATCCGCCAAATGTGGATGTGCTACTGGACAATCTAATCTGGGTACTATCTCGCTATAAACACATTCATGAAAAAATAACTATTAGACCTGATAGTGTGATTATAGAGGGTTGACAGTATATTATTAAATAAACCAGTCTAAAAATCTGGGTTTGAACAATCATGATCTAAAAAGATAGCAAGGCCGGTTTTTTAGACTAATTCAATAAATTTGCTTTCGTAGAATTTATAAAGAATTTCGTTCCGAAAATATCTCGCTGATAAGTTTTCTGGCTCCAATGTAAGTGCATTATTTATATCTACAAGTGCTTCACCATACTTATGTTGCTTAAAATAAATTTGTCCTCGTAGAATTAAAGCTAAAACTTTATTAGAATCGTCCTTTTTAAGAACATAATATAAATCTTTAAGTGCTGCTGCTGCTTCAAAATCTTATATTTATAAAGAATTTCGGCCCGAAAATATCTCGCTGATAAGTTTTCTGACTCTAATGTAAGTGCATTATTTATATCTACAAGTGCTTCATCATACCTAAATTGCTTAATATAAATTTGTCCTCGTAGAAATAAAGCTAATACTTTGATAGAATTGTCTTTTCTAAGAACATAATTTAAATCTTTAAGTGTTGCATCGAAATCTTCATATTTATAAAGAATTTCGGTCCGAGAATATCTTTTTCTGGCTCAAATGTAAGTGCATGATTTACATCTACAAGTGCTTCATCATACATGGATTGTTTGATATAAATTTGTCCTCTTAGGATAAATGCTAATACTTTATTAGAATCGTTTTTATAGAATATAAAATTTAAATCTTCCAGAACTGAATCTATTTCATTGAGACGCATTAGAGCATTAGCTCTAGAATACCGAGCTGTTATACTATCTGGATAAACTTCTAACACGCGTGATAGCCAAAAAAACAGCATCAAACCATTTCTCTTCCTTAATCATCTTATTTGCTTTGCGTCGAGTTGAATGTAGTATGCGAGGAATTTTTATTCTAAAATTATTGTCTACTATCTTTTCGAACGAAGCAGGCTTTTTGAATCGCTGTTTTATTTTTTGAACAGAAAATACACTCGATGTTCCTGCTATAGAAACTTGATCAAATTCTAGTTCATTATTAATAGATTCATTAATATATCCAGCTGAAACAAGTCTTAAATATAATCCTTTGAGTGTAGCTGATTTTGGCAAGGACTGTATCTATCAGGATTGATAAGATTACGGCATTGTGGGCAATAGAGTGATAAATTCTTTAATGTACGAATTCGTTTCCATTTTTCCAAAGCAAAGTTGCTGATGGTGTGACCACATTCAATAAAAAAAAATCTCCAGTAATTTGATATGTTACGTGACACGTTAAATCATTCTCAATAATATCAAGTATTACTTGATCCCGATCTTGCATTTCATCCTTTCCTTTACCATTATTTAGTGCAGCTTTCTTTCGAGTATGTTGATTTGATTGAAAACTTAATTCATCTATAATTTTGGCCTCAATATATTTTTCGAGATTTTTAATTCCAGCAGCTCGGCTTTATTAAGGTTCTTAGCAAAGCTATTTAAGTCATCGTCGATTATAGAAAACCATTCAGTTTTAAGAACGCGTAAAGACAATAATACTTCTAGTGCTTTAAATCTGATAAATTCTGTTTTAAATTTTTCGAGAGCTTCTAATGCTAAATAATAGCATAACACCAAAGTGGATTTATGTATTGTTTGCTTTGACAATTGTTGGACATCTAAAATTCCAAACAACAAAGAAAAAGGAAACGCCGGTGGTTCAAAACCAGCTAGATCATTAATAAAACGAACAGAGTTGTTGAATTTTTGATACATGTTTAGTTGTGTATCGTTTGGTGCATCTGTCCATTCATTTTCAGCTTGAAGCCAAATATACTCCATAATAGTAAACTCACCGTATTTCTGCAATTTTGAATTATTTAATTCGTGAGACCATTCTCTTAAAGTATGTACTAAAGTCAATGCAACTCTCCATTCTCGGTACCAGGATGACACGGGATGTTTGAAAGAAAATGCCTCTCGAATTCCATTAAAGCAATTTTCCCAGCTTAATTCTCCGGATACTATTATACCTGACGTTGCCGAGGACATTGCAAATTTACCGAATGGAAACGGTTGAGATAGCAAAGCTTTAACACGACGCCAAATCTCAGAAGTCTTTGATTCATCATCATTCATTACAAATATATATAAGAAGAAAATCAATATTCATGTTTCGAAAATATGCTAATTCTTCCTTCATCTTGGTCACGCTTTGCAATATTGTCAACTGTTAGCATTTCAAGAGATGCTGCAGAATTTTCAGTACGTAAACTGGACACTCTAATTCGAGTCTACATGTATTTGTATATATACGTAATATACATGTACATTGTATAAAGTCAAACGAAATTTTTTGATAAATATCTGCACACATCTAAATTCATCAATAGATTGTATTTTACAACTTTTTTTTTTACAAAGAAATAGATGTTATGCAATTTAAGTTGCGCTAACTTTTAGTGCTTATATTAATTTCAAGAACTTAATGTATTGTAAATAAATAATTTGTGAGTCTTATCAACTAAACTAATTATTCCCGAGTTATTTATCTATTAAGAACACACAATAATGATCCAGTCGATGAAAAAAAATATTATTTAATTTACTTTAGTTGAAGGTGTCTATGGTTGCATTCCATATTTTTTTGCTGATGATAAACATGTCCTTTAATTACGTTTCTACTTATAGAACTTTTTTTTATTAGATTGTAGTACGGATTCAAAACCCAATTATGGCAAAATTAAAGGCAGAGTCGAATCCATGCCAAGATATAATGAACTATTGAAATCGGATGGTGAAACATCATATGCACAAGTATGTAAATTTTAATCCAATAGAACGATAAAAAGTTCCTACACCTAACCTAACAAATGATTGTATGTTATGAATTCGATATCTCTTAACTAGGAGATAATACAAATTTTAATCAGATAGAATAATAAAATAGTCTTTCTTGACCACTATCGGATTAAATTTTGTATTTACTTCCTAGTTAAGAAGTTTAACAATCCTTTGTTGAATTTAGTAGTACATGCATGATATTTAAGGAACTAGTATTGTTTTAATAATTGTGGGAATTTTTCATTATTCGCTTATAATTACAGTGGCTGTAACGCACACAATAGAAAAACTCTCCCGCTTTCACAGATTCTTTCTAACTTACTCGAAATTAATTGCTCATTAAAAATCATGTCCAAGCATACAAAAAATCTTATCAAAGATTTAACTGAGTCCCTGAAAAACTCGGACGATTATAATGTAAATATTATCGTTGGTGAAAACAGCAAAATAAGAAAGTTTCAAGCTCACTCGTTTATGCTTCGTGCACGTTCTCCGTATTTCCGACGTACGTTATCAAAGGA